GTCGGGCAAATACACTACTGGTCCCAGAGAGCGTCTTCCTGCCTTCTATTCTTATGCTATTTGCTACGAGGTTATTGTTGTTAACCAGGCTTATTCGAAAGGCGCGTCCTCTCTTTCCGCTTAATCATTTATCGATTCCCCTTGTCCAGTGCCCTTTGCCCCCGTTCGCCGTTAAAGCAACAGCTACGCGTCGATGTCATTGACAAGACTGCTCGGCTTATCACCTCAAATATATGTTCAGCCTTTTTGATTTCTACTCAGACCCGTTAACTATCGTGCTCTGTTAAACTTACTGTTTATAATTAGAAAAACACCAAGACTATCTGATTTATTTCGACCGGCTTTTGACACAGCCTTTGACGGTGGTTGCATCTCTTCTGGTGAATATACTAACAATATTAATAGGTAGGACTAAAGCTTCACGTGGAGATTGAAATTCTATTGATCATTGTGTCGCTCTAACCGCACCAATTTTATTTAAATTACTTTTTTACATTTTGTACACTTTTGATTTGCAAAAAATCAGCTAGATGAATATGCCCTAGACAGGAGGATACAACTTACCCACTGCCTGTCCTCGTCCATACACGTATGGTAGAAAGTTTTTATGATCGATAGTGTATTTGAACCAGCGCCTACAGGGCTGTCGCGTTTTGCAATTTGTAAGGCAGAATACGGCTATTTATCCTTACCGTCGTACCATAATGCAGTTTTTAATATTCCCAGTCGTGCCCGTCCTAACAAAAGCCCATGGCTAAAGTATTTAACGTTTGGGTACAACAAGCTGCTAAATCCATGCCCAGTCTTCTTATCTGTTTATTCTTTGAATTGTTTGAGCAAACCGTCACAAAAAAAGATGTATCCACAAAAATACAAGTAAGCGAAGCATCACTTCTAGCCTGTTCGCTGGATTCAACTTGCAAACTCTGTAGAGGGTTAACTACTAAGATGCAGCTGTTCTGGAGTCAATTTTCGTTGATGCACTTCCTTTAGTTAGGGATTTTTTGGTACCATGTAAACGTCCCGAAGCCAACGGACCGAAGTCTAAGGTCAGACCAGATCAACGAGTGCCACTGATACGCAGTAAGGGGGACATCGTAGGCCAGGGAAACAGGCGTGTGGTGTTAGGCTGTTTCATTTCGAAGTAGAGTGTCAGGTTTGAAGAACTAAAATTAAGCTATGGCTGACTGTCGACAGTAAACGAGACAATGACGACTGTCTGTGTATCCATACCTAATGTGATCAACAGTCGACATTTGTCCGCTTGTGAGAATCGTTGGGTATTTCGAAAGCATGCTGAGCTGGGTCGGCACATTTTACAGCTAGCATAAACAGAATTTTTTTTCAGTGCAGAAATGCTTTTTGGTAAGAATTCGTCATGTGTCTTCCCATTCTACTTAATTAGTGCAAAACTTCACGTTAGAACAGATAATGAGCACGGTTGGAGGTAGTCTAGGAATTAACAGCGAAAGATAGATAGATGAACAGCAAAGGAATGAGTCCAGTGGTCGTACTAGAACAAGAGTTGTACTTAGCAATTCCCCAACCGGAATCATGAGCTAGGAGTAACTCGTCAGGCTCGCTGTCTTCAGTTCCTGACATTGTCAATTTAAATCCTGATGCAAAGGCAGGAAGCATGACAAGTTACTCTTATTTCCCAACAGAAACCAAAGAGTGATGCCCTTATGATACCAGACTGTGGCATTATCGACCTAGAGACAGAAGAATACAGTCTCAAAAGAGTGCCATTTGGGCCTCACCTTCAGGAGATCCAAGCCCTTGTCAAGATCCTCACCAACCGAACCGGGACCGCAGGTCGCAAACCGTTCAGCAAACGCTGCGATCTTCTGAGTGAATTGGGCAACCTCGCGCTGGATTCGAACAACAAAATTCTGCTTCGTGGGCATCAAATGACGCGTTGTGGAGCTCGCCAGCTGGACTAGATGCAGCCAACCCTGACTTACACTGCCAGCCTCCTCGAGCTCTGCCGCGGTCACTGACAGACCATGCAGACGCAGAAGGCGATGGCACTCATCTATGTCGATCAACTTCTCTTCCACTTCCAAGGTGCTGTCTTGTACATACTTGATTGTTTGTAGAACGGCCTTCAGCTGGTCGAGTTGCTTTGGACGCGATCGTAACTGAGCTGTCAGATGCTGCAACAAATTAAGTGCAAGCAAATTACAGTATAAGGAGAAACGTTAGCACGGTAGGAGGGATTCAGAGGGTAAAGAGACACAAATTAAAGAGCGGATTAAAATAAGACAGACCTCCTTGCAGAGGGGTGCTGAACCTGCGCTCTACTCGTAGTGGAAGACTCCAGCGTGTGTGTGTCTTAACCGTGTGAGCCGACAACGATAATTTTTGTAGACCCACCACTTACCACGGCCTCGTGTCAAACGGCAGTTTTGGTAATCGGCATTTTTACGGATGAGGAAAAAATGATAGGCAGTACGAAAAGCTAGAGATACAAATAGGGATAGTCCTAAATGAGAAGCATAATGTTTAAGTATGCCATTAAATTTACGAAGTAGCGCACACATTCAAAAACGCTTTCGTGATAGCTA